AGTGTGCGCTGCCAAAGAATTATTTTTCTTACTGGCCCCTGAGTTTCATGGCTGTTTAAATTTTTGCTTACACAGTTTAAGGGATGAAAGAGCGTTAATTAATGGAGAATTTAATTCTCCATCGAATTGCCCTTTTTTCATCCCTTAATCTCAATTAGGAGGGGAGAGGTGAATTTTTAATTCGCGGGCGAATAGCGATAAGTCAGTGTGCGCTGCCAAAGAATTAGTTTTCTTACTGGCCCCTGAGTTTCATGGCTGTTTAAATTTTTGCTTACACAGTTTAAGGGATGAAAGAGCGTTAATTAATGGAGAATTTAATTCTCCATCGAATTGCCCTTTTTTCATCCCTTAATCTCAATTAGGAGGGGAGAAGCGAATTTTTAATTCGCAGGCGAATACTGAAAAGTCGGTGTGCGCTGCCAAAGAATCATTTTTCTTACTGGCCCCTGAGTTTCATGGGAGTTTATATTTTTTGTTACAAAGTTTAAGGGATGAAAGAGGGTTAATTAATGGAGAATTTCATTCTCCGTCGAGCTGTCTTTTTTTCATCCCTTAATCTCAATTAGGAGGGGAGAGGTGAATTTTTAATTACCGGGAGTCACTGTGCGCCGCGAAACTATTATTTTTCTCACTGGCCCATGACTTTCATAGCAGTTTTTAATTTTTTGTTAGAGAGATTAAGGGATGAAAGAGGGTTAATTGATGGGGAATTTAATTCTCCGTCGAATTGCCCTTTTTTCATCCCTTAATCTCAATTAGGAGGGGAGAGGTGAATTTTTAATTACCGGGAGTCACTGTGCGCCGCGAGACAATTATTTTTCTTACTGCGTTGTGATTTTCATGACAGTTTCTTCCATTTATTACAGAGATTAAGGGATGAAAGAGGGTTAATTGATAGGTAATTTAGTTCTCCGTCAAACAGCCTTTTTTTCATCCGAGAGAGAGAGACAGTTATTGGGAGAGAGAGCGAACGGCTGACGAAAAACCTCAAATGATTCTTTTTCTCGTATCCAGTCCGTGACGATCCACAGGCCCGTGCGCGCATGCGCAAATAGTCTGAACAATACTGCAGCGAGTGGGGGTGAGACGGAGGCTTCTCTCTCGCACATAAGGTTCTGATTCACGGCGCCGGATTTAGGGATTGAAGCTAGAAAATTGCGTTCAACTTTGAATCCATAGGAGATTCGCGGGTACGATCAAGACAAAATTTGTGGTAAATTTTCTAATAAAAAATATGGAAAAAAAAAGAAATTCATTGATTCAATGTCAAGATATAAATAGCAACATATATTAGATTCGCTCTGAATAAATAAACAAGCTATTGAAAAAAAAAACACTGATATTCCGAATTACAAAAAAAAAAATTTCATCAACTTCAATTTTTTTAATGGAAAACATTTTTTTTTCCCATCTGATCTTCACGCGGCTCTGGGGGATGAACGGTTGCGAATAGGGGTAAAGTGCCCTCAACATTTTTTGTGTAGAATTTTGATCTCTACAACTTTGTGTAGTACGTTTTTGGACGCACAGCGCGTTATTCACGAGTTATTTCGAAAAAACTGTTTTCAGGGGTAGTTTTTTGGCTTTTTCAACCCCCGCACAAACTTGGGGAACCTTAAATATCCGCCATTAGTTTCATACGCCCAAATCACAAATTCCATAAAAAATGGAGCCTGTATCGCAAACATTCGTATGTTAGACCGACGTTCATTGGACTAGTCGGAGATCCGTTCGGGGTTTCTCCGCGCTTTTGAAAATTCATTCCTCCGCTCCTACTTGAGATTAAGGAATGAAACCGCCGTTATTTATTGAGAATTTAATTCTCTATCGATCGGCATGGGTTTCGTTCCTTCATCTTCATTAGGGGGGAGAAATGAATTTTCTAATCAGGAAAGCCCCTCCGGGCTCAGTGGACGTCGGAAAGCCGTTCGGGGTTTCTCCGCGCTTTTGAA